ACCATTTTGACAAGCTAAATGAAGACAAGAACAACCATCACTATCCACTGCTCCAAGGAGCTTCTCGTGATTTGTAGTACCAGTAGTGGCTGATAACAGAGACACGACTGTATTAACGTGACCATTAGCTGCTGCTAAGTGTAATGGAGTCTCTCTCTTCTCATTAATTGAATAAATATCAATATTAAGAGACTTGTAAGTTCCTGCTAAAGCAGACACTATATCAGGATGACCCTGGCTGCATGCTGCATGAAGTGCTGTGTTACCAATGCTATCTGCCATGTCTACTAATTCTACACGTGGTTTAATGTAGCTTGGACTATCCAATAGATATTCTACTATTTCCAAGTGACCCTCTTGAGCTGACAGATAAAGTGGAGTACGACCAGAACCATCAGTGATATCAGGATTACAGTAACGACCATCAATGAAAAACCTCAATATATCCAAGGACCCTCCCTTTGCTGATATGTGTATTATGTTAAACCCTTTATCGTCCAGTATAGAAATGTTGCAGTTTTTACTGTTGAGGTAACGAATGATTGGAAGGTTCTTGGAGAAGACTGCAATAAGTAGTGGAGTACGTCCAAAAGAGTCAGTCATGTCAAGTGATAATGGTGAATGGTCTATAATGTACTTGACTATACTCAATGATCCTTCTTCACAGGCTACATGAACTGGAACCATTCCATTGTAATCTTTAATAGTGAGATCCAACTGATGCTCCTCCACTAGATGTTTGAGTATAGGAAGAGAACGACTTTTACATGATAAATGAAGAACTGTTGATCCATTTGAAGTTTTAGCTGATACGTCACACTGAGGAAGACTAGTGAGGTAGAGAACTGTAGCAACATGTCCTTTCTGACATGCTATGTGAAGGAGTGTAGATTGAGTATCATCAAAAGGATAAATGGCATTAATATCAAATGAATAATTGTCTAATAATTTTTTTAAACAATACAAACGGTTGTATTGCACAGCAAGAAAAAGCAAAACACCATTCTTAAATGAGACTACATTGATATGATACTCTTGTCTGAGCCATTCTATTATATGAACATATCCATTCATCACTGCAGCTCCTGGTGATGATGATTTGCCAAATATTTTAGGATTAAGGTGGTATTGTTTTACTAATAATTTTAGAAGATCAAGATTACCAGATCTACAAGCATGTGTAACACAAGTATGGCCATCCTTATCTTCAGTAGTGACATCACATTTCATTACATCAATTAGAAATGTCACAAGTTCTATTACACCACTAGCACAGGCATAATGAATTGACAGAGCATCAAGACTATTAGTAGAATGTAACAGACTAGTATATTGTGGATATTTATTAATGATATATTTAATAAATAAAAAATGACCATTGAATGTAGAAAAATGAAATACATTACTGTTGTATGCTCCACCTACTCTATCCAAATCACATCCACAATCTTTTACTAAATACTCTAAGACATCAATAGCACCAACTGTAGCTGCATAATGAACTGCTTGCCTATCGTCACCATCTTCAACTTGTGGATCTAGTTTATATTCATTAACTAATAATTTAATTAATGATAATTTAGTACTGCGTACTGCTTGAAGTAATGCAAATGATGTGACAGGCAATTGATGATTGTTAATGAGGTATTGGACTAGCGTTCATGTTACCACTCATAGCACTATAAGTCAATGCATTCCATTTCTTATTATCTGTTATGCTAATGTCACTGTCTTGTACTTCAATGAGATATTGACTGAGATTAATGTTACCATCATAACATGAATAATGAAGAGGTGTTCTACCCTTATTACAGGTTATATTAATATCAATGTCAGTAGTATTCATAATATATTCTACTGTATTGATACTACCTGACATACAAGCTAATGCTAATGGTACTACACCTTTGTAGTCTGGTTGACTGGCATTCAATCTATACTCAGATACAGTATAACTGAGTAGAGTAGCTGAACCTGATAAAGCAGCATAATGTACTGCAGACCAACCCTCATAATCTAATGAACTTGTATCAATACCATACTCCTCTAATACCTTCACTAATAATATACTACTACTAGTACATGCTAAATGAACCAATGATTGACCAGTAGCAGTAATAGAATTTATATTGAAATTATTAATAACACTTGTCTTCTTGAGGAGTGTAGACAAAAGGCTCACTCTTTTATGCTGTTTAGTTACATTTATATTTAGTGATATATATTTATACGAGAGGTTCCTGTTTGCAAGAATAAATGTAGGAATTTGCATAAGTAAAGGTATATCACATGGTGCAGTGAGCTTATTATATACTTCTGTAATGCAGTATTTATCAACCAATCCACTGCATAAGTAATGAAGAGAAGACCGACCACTATAATCAGCTTCTAGTGATACTTTATATCCAAAAATATTTACCATTTTCATAATGAAACCTGATGAAGCATACTGGCATGCTATATGAAGTGGTGTTGAGCCAAAACGATCTCTTTTTTGAAATAATTCCCTTTTATAATTATCATAAAGATACTCTAGAAGCTCTACACTATCATTCATAGCACAATAATGTACTATTCCACATCCGTTAAAATCTATCTCATCTTCTGAGAAAATACCAAACTGCTTAAGCTCATAAACTAATGCTACCTCTCCACTCTTACATGCTAATAATGATAAAGTCGATCCTTCTCTATTCACCTGAGACACATTGCACTTCTTTTTTAAAAACATAATCATGAGGTCAACGTGACCACCCAGTGCTGAGTAAAGCAATCCCGTGTTACCAGAGCTATCTGCTATGTCTGGATCAACGTGACATTCATTAACTAAATACTGTGCAATATTGAGATGGCCTTTATATGAGGCCATGTGTAAACTAATAACACCATCATCATCACCTTGTGAAGGATCGCAATGATAAACATCAATGAGGAGACAGAGGACATCAATGTGGCCACCATATGAAGCAGCTAATGGTGGACTCCATCCATTTTTACCTCTTTCCTGAAGGCCAGTCTTGTCAATCAATCGTTGTACTTCATCTTTTAATCCTCTCCAACATGCTTCATTCAATGGAGTGCTGGTATTCTCATACCAGAGAGGATCATAAATATCTATATAATATATCATAAATGAAGTTAATGATAATAATAATTACCAATAGGAGAATCATGAAGCTTCTTTAATTCCTTTTTTGGCAACTGTAATTATAAAAGAAGATTAGATCACATTTATTGTAATTAATTATTAACATACCTGCTTCATTTCACGTTTATATTCATGACATTTATATGTTACGATTCCAATCTCAGCCAATAAATGACACTGTTGATTGGTTAATGGAAACAGAACAGAATAAAGAAAATCAGGAATAGAATATTTCAATTCCATGCAGCCATTTTGAATTGTACAAAAATAGAAATCATAATCTGGAACTTCAAGTGCATCGGCAATTAGCTTGTGAAAGAAAGAAATATAAATCATTTAATGTGTAGTCGTCTCTGGCAACCTTAGCAATCATTACTTTAGTGCCTGGAACATCAGAAAGACCAAACTCAATCGAGTCGGCAATTTGAACTGCTTTAGTATTGTTATTTTTAAAATAATCTTTTAGTTTCTCACGATATGTAGACCACTTCCTCTGTAAATCTCTCTCACCAGTAATGAAAGTATTGACTAACTTGACAACAAGTTCAAAATTGAACCATGAGATGTATTTTTCTAATACTTTAAACAACTGCTTCATTGTCTTAACATGTTCAAACTCTTTTTCAATTGAATTGATGATTTGGGTTTTACGAAAACGTGGACTGAGTAAAAGTGCAATGTAATCCTGAATGAAATCAATAACTTCTGAGATATCAATGGAATGAAACAA